TGGAAACATTACTTCTTTGCTGCAAGCCACACAAGAGTATGGACCTTCTCAGTTCTATTTTATTTTTCTCATTTCTATTTTTTCTCATTCACATCTATGCACAATGGCTGGGGATGCACCTGATTTGTCTTCTTCTCCTCAAATTCTACTGTTGTGTACTCCACAAATTCAGGTTAGCCCAACTCTCTATAGAAACTTATCTACTGAATCAGACTCATTTAGTCATCTAATATAGACCAAGAACACTTTCAGAATTGAAGACTCTGAGAAACCCAGGCTCAGTTTCAGTCTTCAGAGCACTCAGAATGTACTGAGAACATTTGGGAAAAGATAATAAAAATAAAATGTAACTGTTATGACAGGTATACATAGAGAGGATGGGAAAGTAGAGGAAAGAATTGAAGATTCTTAGAATCTTCCCCCTCAGAAGGACGTGCCATACAGAATATAGCATTCAGTGATAGCAGCTCTATTGCTATCTGAATCCCATAATCTATAGGGAGGAGTGAGCACTTGTAGTATGGAGACAGTTTGCACGGACACCCTAGCAATGGAACAAGCATGTCTTTCTATGACTGCGGAGAAGTTCACATGGAGAAAGAAGCAAGAGAGAACTTGGGAGAGGTGGGAGGATTATCTTTGGACATTCTTGGTTAACTTGCTGTGGAATCTTGCATTATATTATAGGTTGTAGGACAATGAGGGAGATTTAAGCAAACACAATTAAGAAACACTATTTTCTGTCACTATACATTGTCCCTCTACTATCTCACTCTAATATCACTCCCTGATTTCTCCTGAAGCCATGCCTTCTAATTCATTTTAACATACTCTTAAGGTAATAATAATCTCCTATATTTGATATAATATCAAGCTCGTTTATCTCTATGACCCAAGACTGTAAGGACCAGCCCAGGAAGCACAGGACATCCTCTACCTCCTAGCCTCTGTTTACATATTGCTTGAGCATTTTTATTTTTGCCTTCATTTTCTTACCTCCCCATCTTCTGATTCTGTTCACACCAGAGTAGTTCCAACTCATCTGCCATCAGAATGTCACATCAATGGTCAACTTCTCTTGAGCACATTTGTTTTAGGTTCCTTATGCAACTGAAATTAGACTCTGCCTGAGTCATGCTATTCATCTTACATTATTACAAACTTTTTCTCTTTCTACCACAAGAGCTAGAATCATGTGCGCTTTTCTTTTTTAATCGTATGACCAAATCATTCTTTCATCTCCTTCCATAAATAAGCCAAATTTTCATGATTTGTGTTAGACTCAGGTCACCACCCCAAACTTTGATGATTTTTATCTCCTATATCAATCCTTCTTTAATTTTATGTTTAAAATTAATTTTATGCTTGATTTAGCTTTTGGTGCTTTCAAAGATCATACAGAATAATTTTTCCAGTGTATCCAGCCTCTCAGTTACTGTTCCTCTTCTCCAATGACTTAATACTCTGCTATAAGTCAAAGGCTTCTTCCCATAGCTATTCTATTGACATTGTTTCTAACTCTCAACTGCATATATCCACTATAGTTATCACTGTATGGCTTTTCAGGTCACTCCTGGTAATATCATTGACCAAATTGCCTTTGATTACATAAGAATTTGAATCAAGCTTCAATGTTTTATTATTTTGATATTTTCCTTTCTCAACCCGTAGTATTACCACATTTTCCCTTATAGTACACAAATACCATAGCGAGTCAAAAATCAATCCCTACTTAATAGCGTAGTGCTTTTTTCTGTCTCACTACTTTTCCTACAAAATGAGCTATATCAAACCTCAAGTGAAGTTGCATCTACTAACTTCATATCTATATAAACATAGTTAAATAAGGCATACCAAAAAGCAACCACATAGTGAATCAAATCAATTTCACTTTAAAATCATGATCTTGAATACCCTCTGGAAATCATTGTGTATTTCCTTATATTTTTCTGGTCTGCTCTCCTTACAACACCCTTACAGATACATTTCATAATCTTTCTTAGCTTTTTCCTTCACAATATTTTCTCAGTTGTTTTTTGTTTTCCTATTTCAATAAGCAGATTAAAGAATTCACATGATTTACCACTTCTACTTGTAATAACATCCTTGAACCTTTCTTAGAGGCTTTCTTTTATTGATCTGTGCATGCTTTTGAGGTCAACTCATATATTTTATCTTCACATGCTCATCTATCTTAACTTCATACTTCTAGTCTGCAGTTGCCCAAGTTCCTTTCACATATATCCAGCTGGACTTGGCATCTCAATTATTAAGCATTTAAAAGTCATTTCTGAGTTAGCAGTAAATAGAGGAGCTTCTGATAACTCTGTACCTCTCTAGTCCTTATCCCATTCACACATGCACAACTACAACAACAACAACAACAACTGGTACTTGTTATGATGGTTGTTCCCCACATCATGGTTTCAATTTCATTCTTCCAGCTGGATGGGCCAATGCCTTGGTGCTACCTTTGATCTTATTCTTTCCTCATCATCCTTCAATGTATCATGAATTGTACCACTGCTGTCTATGTCCAGTTCTGCTGCTTTGACCAAGGTCCACAGCATTTTACTGATATTTCCATTTAATTATTTCCATAACTCTAGATCTTGATCATGCTATTTCCTTTGTCTCAGGAGTAACTACCCATGATCCTGTGAAGATGGAAGGCAGATGATGTTGCTTTCCTCCCAAAAAGTTTCAGTACTTCCTACTTTAGTTAAATTAGAAGCCTAACTCTGAATCTTACCTAAAATACCACTCGTGCTCTAGCCCATGTTTCTACTCTGATTTCATCATTCTTGTCCTTTGTTGCTCCTTATCACTGATCACTAAAGCGTACTGCATACTTCACTTTCCTGTCTTCCTTCTTTCCAGTCTCCCCCACTACGACTTAAATACTTTGAAGGTAGTGTTTTGCTGGTTTGTTTGCTATTATATTACCGGTCCTAGATACATGCTCCAACACACATGCAAGAAATGGTTGTGGAATGAATGAATAATTTAATGAATGAAATTTGTTTTCACATTATGTTACATAACCTTCTGTGCATACTAACAGCCATGTAATTCACTGTAGTAACTAATCATCATCTCTGGAATCAAACAGAGAAGTGTGAGTACAATTCAGCTTTACTGTAGAATCTTACAAAATTTAGGTACTGTCTCCAGGCTTTGTTTTGTCATTTTAAAAAATAGAGCTAGGAAAAGTGACTGAGTGACTCACAGTATTATTACAAGAATTAAATGAAAAAATGTAGGTAAAGTATTTATAATGCCTATAGCGTAACAAGATTTCAGTAGATAATATGTAGTTACTGAAGTTAATATAGATAGATATGTAATTTGTTTTATTTTTTGGTATCTTGTTTTTCACTAAGTAACTTTAGAAGGTGAGAAGATAACCTCTTAGAGGCCAAAATTGGTGATTTTTATTTCATATTTCATATTTAATTTTAATTTTTTAACTTTATGTATTTGGTACAGGGTCTTACTACACAGCTCGGACTTGCAGTGGTCCTCCTGCTTTCAGCCTCCCTGGTGCTGGGATTACAGGTGTAGTCTCAGTGCAGTCCCAGTGCACCTGAGGATCAGGCCGGAGTGGCATTTGGTACAGGGGATAGAATCTGGGCCCTGCACTTGCCTAAGCAGGCACTTAGTCCCCTTAGTTAGCTCACTGGCCCTTCTATTTCTTAATTAAAATCTTGAATTTTTTTCACACCAATAATTAATTGACTCTTCTTTGAAGATCAGGTAATGCCCTAGAAATATTTCAATGGTGCATTTTCAGTGTGCTAATGTTTATAAAGATCCAGGACCACAAATTCATCTACTTCTCTATGACAGATTACTCCAGAGTGGAAAAAATATATTGGTTACTTATTTGGTTTTGTGTTTAAAAAGTAGGACTCTCTAGGGTATTACCACTGTGAAATCTAAAAATAGTTGAAAAAGAGTTTCTTTAAAGTGATATTCATTGAAGTTATTTGCATGTGTGGCACATAATCCATGGAAAGTTTTATACTTCATCAATAATCATGTTAACTTTTAACATGACTTTACATTTTCGGGGTTTAGTAAACTTACTCACATGGTCCAACTAAATTTTTAGAATTAACAAGTATGAGATCAGAACCCTTTACTTCAGTGAGTTTAGTTAGGATAATCCAGGAGATAAGACAGAGAAATCATTAGCAGAGATTAAGCTTCACTAAGCCATATTAGGTATCTTTGCAGAATTTGCAGTCATACTGTATAAGTTTTTCAGTAGGACCCAGTAAATTTTTTGTTAGAATATTTTTTGTTAGAATCATGTATGAATTGATGAGAATAGATAGGATAAGACAGAGAATAGAATAGATAAGACAGGACTGGAGTTCAATTAGAATGGCTGCTAGACAATAGCTTTTGTTTTAGTCATCTGCATTTCTGTGATCTCTGTACTTGTGACTAACGAGTTCAAGCCTTAGTTTCATAGACAGAATAACTTACGTCCTAGTTGCAACTGTATAATTATTAGGCTCTACTGTTCTAACAGCGCATGCACAACCTCTGTGCCTCATTCCTTCATCTACATAACAGTAGGGATATATCTGCCCTACGTCTTTATAGTGGTAATAGCATTATGCACAAATAAAATTCCTATCATTTTACACGTGAAGGTTATTAATGTTACATATTCTATACCATCTACTTTATAATTGGAAGGAGTTCTAAAAGCCACACAGTATCCATTTCTGATCTTGCTGCTTTCTCATTTTTTATTATTTGTTCATCCCTTTCACTTTCTAAAGTTTGTGATTTCATCAACACCTTTTTTTTTTTTTTTTAAATAAGAAGGATGAAGGATAATGGATTTCGCTAGTAGAAATGCCGTGGTGACACCGACCAGATGAAGTAAAGAATTCATTTCCTTTTTCTTGGGTGATATTTTGATAACAGTCCTTGCCAGTTCCTTGCCTGGATATTGCTAACTTGTGTTCTTGTCATTTGTGCAGGAAATGATTTATTTCTTGTAGCAGTTCATGAGCTGGGACACGCTTTGGGACTGGAACATTCCAATGACCCCACTGCCATCATGGCTCCATTTTACCAGTACATGGAAACAGACAACTTTAAACTTCCTAATGACGATTTGCAGGGCATTCAGAAGATATATGGTAGGTTGCCTTTGCTTCTATTTGGTCAGTCCTACAGTGAAGTAAAAAATTCTTGGCCTGATTTTTTCTGTGAGATTAATGCTCTCAATTTGTGAGGCAAAGAAAACCTAACAAAAAACAGTTGGACTACTGGAAAAATATTATATCAATTCAGTTTTGTTGGACAACAGTCTCAGATATCGTGGTGTATTGATTATGGGACAGTCTTAGGCACTGATGAGATTCTATTATAATTTGAAGAATACTTGGGATTATACTAAAAACATAATAAACTTGCATATTAAAGACTCAAGACAAGACATATAGTGAATGAAACCAATAAAAGCAGTGGGGAATGTAAGACTTTCTTATAAGATGCTGAGACTTTTGGTACAATCTAAAAGATTAGTTCAAAATTTATGAGATTTGATGTCAGATAGTTCCCAGAGAGAGGATTTTTGAAAATCAAGAAAGTACTAGTATAAAATAAATACAACAAATTTACCTCAGAGGCAGGTAATAACTGACAGAGATTGAAAGTTTACCAATGAGGGAGTAAAACTTAACAAATTACACTTATTAACATAGTGCAACTTAAATGTGTACATAGTAATAATTTTATTTGTGGGATTCACAGAGTAAATGCATATTGCAATGGGAAAACTGTCCTGCACACTTACTGTAATCTTAATTCCTTCAATATCACCATTGACCTTTATAAAGACATGTGTTTCACACAATTGTTAAGAACTTGACATTTATAATTTACGTGTAACAAGCATGTTTTATCAAATTAATGAAGAGAAGATCTCCTTTTTATGATAACAAGACAAATTTGTGCTATGTGCATGTTACTGTCAAGTCACCCCAAGGTATTATTTGCATTTTTAAACAGTGTGATTCATGTTCACTCATCTGTTTTGCGTTCATTAGTTTCTCAATTTCTCTATGAAATTTAGCGTTATGTCAGGGTTAAAATAGATTTGGGGAAAAAAGATCAACTTTTGTGACACACTTTTATTTTCATTCAGGTAATGGGAAAAGAGATATGTCTAGTACTGAACACTAGTTAGCTTCTCTGTTGAAATGGGCTATCCTACACCTATGTGTGTGTCATCAAATTCCTCTCGCATAACTGAAAGAAATGTCTTTCCTATGACCTCATTAATTAGTAACCTAGACTAAAGGTTTCAAAAGAATATCCTTCTTGTATCTAAATATTGTGAACAACTATGTATTTCTTTCTAAAAACCTAAATTCCTTGAGGAATGATGTTTCATATCTATACCAAATTACATGTTTAAGCTTTGGCTTGGTATAGAAGCCTCATTTTGGAAGGATTTCTCTACATGAAAACTTTACTGGTGGTGTTTTTAATCAGTAGATGTTTTGGATTTGATATTTAAATGAAACATATATTTAGCAATTTTTCCAATGTTTTAGTAGAAAAAGAGTGAAACAACTAAATATTAGAAAACATAGTTGGAGATATAATGTATTATAAACTTTGATAAGAGATCTTTCTTTTGAAAATTTACAAAGTCATTTTCTTTCAAAATACAGGATTAACTTTGGTGACGTATACTCCAATACTCATTTTCATTTCTTTAATATTTATATACCACCCACTTCTACTTCCAACAAAAGATTTGATAGCAGGTTTCCAATAAGGGCTGTGGATAAGCTATTTCAAAAAATTGTTAAAAATGAACAAAGAAAACCTAGTTACTTGGATTAAGAATCTAGCATGATAAGGAGGATTTCTCAAACACATAGCAGCACTTTGTTGGATAGGATGGTTCATTTATTTTCATGAAACGAAGGCTATTAAAGACCTCTTAGCTTGCTTAGTTTGTGGCCTCTGCTGATAAGTGATTGTTCTCTGTAGTATATTTTCCAGCACTATTCCAGTTTTAAGTGAGCCAAGCACTGTCCTCATATTTTCAAAAGGTCCACCTGACAAGATCCCTCCACCTACAAGACCCCTACCGACAGTGCCCCCACACCGCTCTATCCCTCCAGTGGACCCAAGGAGACATGACAGGCCCAAGCCTCCACGGCCTCCCACTGGCAGACCTTCCTATCCTGGAGCCAAGCCCAACATCTGTGATGGGAACTTTAACACTCTAGCTATTCTTCGCCGTGAGATGTTTGTTTTCAAGGTAGGAGGCTGTGATTTTTTTTTAACGATAGATCAAGTATCTAGTTGCTCTAGAAAACAAGTTCTCATTCAATCTGACACTACCTTCCCAAGCCCCTCACAGTTAGGAGGGTCAAAAAAGCATCCTAAAAACTAGATGCACAAATGGGCTTACAAGTCTGGCAGAAGATTGCTGTAATATTCTATTTGGGGAATGCATTTGTGTCAGCAGAACCTAAAAATGCCTAGAAATGGGAGGGTTTAAAAAATGCTGCATGTTCTGAAGAGATAAAACAGCATAATTTAAGTCATGAATAGGAACTAATAAGGATGATTTGCTTGGGAGCTTACTTGCTTCTAGGCATCCTCTAGCTATTGTGTCTTTGGTTTATACATTTTTATGAGAGACTTAGAGTTTATTCCACTATTACGGCATTGTTTTTTATAAGTATCATTTTGTTCGGTACCTATTGGTAGTTATTTGAGCTAAATCTCTATGAGACTATTATTTTTTACTTCAAATAAATATTGTTCTCTTCTGTCAGGCATTTATGGCTACCTAATTGACATTAGTTTTAAAAAGTTATCAGCTAAAATTAATTCTATATTTGTTAAAAGTGTTCCTTAATATCTCTGTATTTTTAGAAAACACAAGCAGTGCATCAAATATATATTATGTGACATTGAAAATTGAATGCACTGTAAAACTAATATAGTTTGTTTTCTCCCCCAATACTTACAAACTGACTTAAAAATTAAGAGAGAATGTAAATTTGCACTCTGTCATTGGAATATTAAAATGGGCACATTTCACACATATGGTCCACTCAAAGTAAAATAATTTGTTTTCATTTTTTCTGGGAATGAATCAATATGTAAAGGAATATTATCTTACTTATATGAAATTTCATGTATACCAAGGTGGTACTTTAAAAACATAGATGTCAAGTACTTTTAAGTAGGCCGGGTACTTTATTTGTTTTATAAAATAGTAAGATCTAGATGCAGTTCGCACAAAGCTACTGTGACTTCCAGAAAAAAAAATCAATGAATTTCTTCAAACACATACATAATCTTTTTTAATTCTACAGATGCATTTCAATGCTTAATCAGGTATAACCATTCAATATGAAATAGGCTAATTCAAATTGAAAGGATAAAGAAAAATATATCTATACATTTATTCAATGGTAAATATATCACATCCTAATGTAGCTAAGTTCAGGGCACCTATTTGAACTGAAAATGAACACTAGATGAAAATTTATTAGACTGTTTTGACTGAAGATTTGTACATTGCAGCTTTATAGCTTGACAGCATCACAGCGCAGTGAAATCACCTACAGGGTCGGTCTTGCCTGAGTGTATGATGTAAACCTGACTTCGAATGCAAGCTTTTACATAATTCCTGTCTGTCTAAGAGATTGCTGTCCTTTGAAGACACTCATGTCTTCATATCTAGCAATCTCCTTCCCTGGCATCTTTGTGTGCTGCACATCGCGGGTGCTTAGTGAGGGCAGCTGACTTCCAAGTGGGGTTCTCTAGTCACTCGCCCTTGGAAATGAGAGTACAAGAAAAACCTCATAGCTCAAACTCTCAAATAAATGACCATGATTTTCAATATTAGATCATATATCTAAAAACAAGGAAGAACTGCTTAAGCTCTTAGGTCCTCTTGAACTCTGTTAATCAAAATTCTCTAGAAGATTGAGGTTTTTTTTTTTTTAAATTTTCATTCTCTGTTCTCTAAGATTAATTTCTTTGGAGATAACAGATGCGATATGTATTATATTATTAGTTTCCAGCTTGCCTAGTTTCACCTAAGTTTATAGTTTCCGTATTTATCTGACTTTTTATATAATGAAAAACAAGTATATTAGGAACCAAGTATATTAGGAACCAAGGAACCTCTGCGTAATTAGAGGCTCAGAGAGCCTTCCTGTCTTCAGAGAGCTTATATTTCAGAAATGAAAGTGAACATGAATCTAAATACTTTTAGATCCCAAGAGTAAAAGTTATGACATTGAAACAAAGAGAAAGTACTGAGTACTTTATTGAAAGTACTCTAATAAGTTTTTCTGAGATGTAGATTGTGGTTAACTTTGAGAATGGTTGGACTTTTATAAACATATTGAGGAAATGAATAGTGTGGCAAAAAAAGTATGTGTATTGGGGAAGTACAGGTGGAAATACTACCTAGTGAAGAGGGCTGAGTTCAGAATGTCACCTCTATAGAACTTTGGATGAAAGGAGAGAAAACACATCTCAGGACTACCTGCCCTTATTTAACATCGATCACAGACTGGGTAGTTAACATGGACCCACGTCCACGCAGACAGCTATGATCTACGAAACTTGTAACAGCAGTGAAATTCAGATAGCTTCCTGTTTTACCAATGAGAAAACTGAGCAACAGAAAAATGAAGATATTAGGCCTAATCAATGCTGTGAATCATAGTCAAGCAGAGGTAGACTTTCCTACTAAAGGTTGTTGCTGTACCTAAAAACTTAGAGAAAATTTCTGAAGAAGAGGAAATGGTAAATATTCAAGAAATACTTACTGTGTGACTCCTGTGTGCTGTATAGACTATCTCAAGCACTAACAAAGTTACAGTGCACCAGACAGGTGGATTTCAGTTTTTCAGGGTTCTTTCCAATTTTCAGGGTGGACAGATGGGTGGGATGGCTTTGCATAGAGATTCTACCCAAGAATGTTGTGAAAGCATGCATGTAAGAATACATGATTGAGCCCTGAAATGCCATTTTCCTTATTTCTGACACCAGTTCTCCTAAGTTCTCTCTATACTAGTTAATCTAGGCTGCTTTCACCTCTAAATTTAGGTATCAATGTTACTGGCCACAGGATTAAGTGCATATTCTTAAACTTATTTGCTTACTGCTGATCAAATCAGGAAGGACATTTATATTGGTGAAAATCAAGAAAGATTTATTCAAGGTTAGTGCTGAGGAGACCAAGGGGACTCACGTGTCTCAAATCAACATCTTACTTTACATAGTGCATTAGGGTCTTTGGTAGTAAGGAACAGTGGGGGAGGAAATACAGAGAGACATTAGACATGTCCAGGCTTGTTTCAACGCCCTGTATCCAACTTTTTCCTTCCTTATGTGTTCAAATGAAATAGGATTTTGACCTCTCAGTGCCAGCACCTGCATATTCTGTCCATTCATCTGGGCTCAGGAGACATGGGTATGTGGTTATCTCTCATGAGCAACTTACTTCTCAAGAGAATGAGAGAAAAAAAAATCTTAGTAAAGTTCCACTTTTCCACACCAGTTACAATTGTCCCTTACCTGGTATTAATACCAGAAATTGCTCTCTGCCAAGCTATCACTTGAGTTTTCTTTACTTAGCTTTCCTACTTGCAAGTTACTCTCTCAAACTCGTACTTATCGAGTCTTTACTCCTTGACACCTTCCAGAGGTCTGTCCATCCTCTCTGCTTCTTCAGCTCCAAATCTTTTAGGTGATTTGTACATTTATTCTCCACCTCTGCCTATGTTATGTGTCTATCTTATATAATTATTTTTCACTGCAAGGTATTTTTTAACTTAATAATAAACTTAAACAAACCTGGAGTTGGCTCTTATGGGCTTCATGGTACCCACTGCTAAGGAATAGAGAACTCTGTCATAATTATGTCATTATATTCATAGTATGACAATCAAGTACAATGATATTACTGAATTACAGTTCATTCTAGTAAATTTTTATTCTCTGGCTAAGATTTCACTAAGCATTATTTACTTAAATTCTACATTTATTATTTTTAAGCAAGCGATAAGAAATTTTAGATATAAGCAAAAGGTAATATCTTTGGGGAGTTTCATTTTCTTTTTTAATAATTTTATTGAGAAGCAAATAGCAATGAAATAGTTTCACAAATGATGGCTAGCACATTTTCAATAATTAATATATTGTTTATTAGTGTCTTAGTGGTTATTCATTGTACAAGATGCAGACATGATATCCTGTCTCAAACACTATTAGAACAAACCTCTCTATTCATTGACTTAAGAGAATGGAGCTGTGTATCTATCTTAACTATTTTGAGCATATTGATACAAAATGGTCGTTCATTTCTATCTCAATTTTTGGTTAGTTTTCTCAGAGAAGGTCATTCCTTTGTAATTTAAATACTGTAGGTGCATAAATTCAGCAAAATATCCCAATATAGTCCAGTAGCCCATAATATTAGTGGGTTTTCCATAAGACTGGCAATGTCTGAAGTTGTTGACTTGAGCCTTTTACAGCTCAGCATATTAATATGACTTTACTTTTTATGCTTCATTTTATTTACTTTTCTGCTGGATGGTTAAGAGCAAAATAAAGCAAATCCTATATAACAAGAAATGTAACTTTTGTATCTGATAAGGTCAGTCAAATTCCCTCAGGATTTAACCTGAAACCCTGTACCACAGTTTGTAGGTCTTTTGTCAGTGTCAGTCATGTGGATGAGTCATGGTCATTGCTTGACCAATTTGCTTTCCGTGAAAGCCTGAGAGAATGTTTTCTCTCCATGTGTCATTTTTTTAATAGATAGAATGCTTTCTATAATAGGAGTTTCAGTTTGAAAATTTTTTTGGTAACTATTTTTCTCTCAGATGATCTGTTTTACATTAAACTTTTCTGATATCCATTTATTTACAGAGTTCACCTGGATATGTTTGTATTGGGTAGGGAATATTTGAAGAGTTACATATGCATTAGAAAGTTAAACCCTGTGCCTCCATTGTCTTTGTGGAATATAAAACCCCTATAGCAAGAAAATGAAAAATCAAAACAACAATCCAAGGCATGGTGAAAATAACAATAACAAAAGAAGCTTTGTCCTTCCTAAGAGATGGTGACTTTAAGACACTTCCTTGAGGAATATAAACTGAGTTGACAGTATGAATATATTGATTGTTCAACTGGTTACTCTCAATGTGCCTTTGTACTACAGCATGAAAATATTAACTATTTTACTCGTTTTATAAAGTGAAAGACTTAGCCAAAGTTGTA